AACCATATGAGTTATTAAACTAGTGGTCAAGTTGTTTAATTAGGGCATATAATAAGAATAAAACATGTCTTTGATATGAATTGAATATTAAATGAATAAAATTGATAATTCTATAGGAATTGAAGGTGAAAGGAAGTTATAAAGCAAAACAACGATCAAAAGTAAAGGATCAATGGAAAGTTGGAAACATATAATCAGACAACCTAATTATTTTAGGTGAGTCAGTTTTCTTTTATATGGACACATATCATAAATGGTTTTTCTCTGTGTTTTCTATGAATTAAACTCACATGGTCATACTTTGAAAAATAGTTCTATTATGTAAATTCAAGTAAATTTCCATGAATTGAAAAGTGTTTTGAATAGAGTTTCGTTAGTACATTGCAACAACATGGAAGTCTCTTGCTAGGCTGGAATAGAAGTGTTTGTTATGAAATTGAAAATATGATAAATTGACTTGGAAACTAAAGTGGGAATTATTTGTTATTTAAATTATTATTGGTTTTTGGTAATAGAAATGTGTTTTGTTAAACTATTTGTTTTTGTAAATTCGTTTGCTTTATATTGTTTTTCAAGTGACTATTGAGATTTGAATTTACTGTAAAAAAAAAAATTATTGTGGTTTTGAGCTAAGAAATGCTCGCATGTTAATTTGCCAATTATTATTGGTTTCTGGTAATAGAATTGTGTTTTGTTAAACTATTTGTTTTTGTAAGGCATTTGCTTTGTATTTTTTCAACCAAATATTGAGATTTGAATTTACTATAAAGCTTTTCTAGATTGTAGTTGTAAGCTAAGAAATTCTCATAAGTACGTTATTTTGGTAATTCATAGTTGTGGAGTCACTTGAATTTGATTGAAAGCTTTGATATTAGTAAGCGTGTGTTATGCTTGGTCGGGTGCAGGGGTGGATCCACGATAGATCCTCGGGTATCCCGAGATCCCCTAAAAAAAATTAGTTCTGTAATTTTTTTATATTAATTTCGTTTTATATATATATATATATATATATATATATATATATATATATATATATATATATATATATATATATATATATATATATATATATATATAATATTAAAATGTTTAGCGATTTAGTAAAAAACGTTGTATTTGGTTCAGATGGTTAAGATGTTAAGGGTTTTTTTTTTGAAGTTGCTGGTTCAAATTTTCTTTCAAACATATATTTTCTTGGTTCAAATGTTCTTTCAAACATATATTTTCTTTTATTTTTGCAGCTGTTTTTATATAGTTTTATACAAATTATACTTATTATATTATAATGTTGTGAAAATTAAACACAAATATTGAGTTGTCTAAATGGTAAAATGCTGAATTTTTAATTTTAAGATCCCTATTTCGAATCTTATCCCTTACACGGATGCATTTTATTTTGTTTATCAGTTCAAACTTGTTTTTTAAAATTCTAAAATTGTCCCACATCGATCATAACATTAAACATAACTCCTATACATCTGTTATATAAGCAACACAAGCTTCTCAATTCTCAACAAGTTAAACTTTTGAATGAGTTTAGGTTTAAAGCTGAAACTGAGTTTGGAAAACTGAAAAACCGAACTCATCGGTATGAAATACCCCTTTATCTTGACTCTGGTTTTGCCACTGGTCTGAGTGAGTAACTATGTGGCAATGTGGACTTATCTAGGCACTATTCGAACAATACCTCCCTTGACGAAGTAATGGTCTATCCCCATTTGGGATTCTCATTGTGTGAAACGTTCCAAAACAAAAAATTATACCTTGGGAACAAGCTTCGGACAAGGTAGAACATTTATTTATTGAAAGTGAGATTGCAACGAGAATGTGGAATGCCGTTTTTAAGTGGGTCAATACTTGATAACCACTAAACTGAATTGGAACACGGTGAATGATAGTTGTGCTTGGATTGATGCTTGAACAATGTCTGTACATAAGAAAGCTGCTTTAGAGGCTATTGTGATGATGACTTGGTATGTTTTATGGAGATTTTGAAACGAATCAATTTTTGGGGATAGAAAACAAAAGGAGTTGCTTTTTTATTTTATTGTTGACTATTGGTTTAATTGGTTTGTGTATAGAAAACGTAAAATCACTATTAAATGGGTTATTTGGATTCAAAACCCAATTAATTGTATGTTGGTTATTTTAGTGTTACCATGTCATTTTAAGTAATTGGGAACCAACATGTGAGCTAAGGGGATTCACAATTTGTACTCTAATATATGTATGGAGTAGTGCGGAGTGCACGCATGTATAAGATCGAATTAGAAGCCGGTTCGACAACTAGTCGGGGGTCCAGGGACAAAGCCCCTAGGTCCGGGGTTTCCAAAGCGCCCCTAGCGGGGTCCAAGGGGCAGAGCCCCTGGCCGTGGGATTTGGAGTAGCGCCCCAAAAACTCACAGAATTTTGCATGTGGGAACATAATGGAAAACTCAATTTCTTGAGAGTGATTATGGTAAAACTAACGAAACTCGTTAGTGTTGGTAACCCTAATCCGGATTAATATTACTTGCTTTCAATGCAACTAATGACGGTCCAACCCTAATGAAACCCTAATCTTGTTTAATATATAAACAACTCTTTTTTATACAGAAGAGAGTTACGTTTTTAGCTCTCGTTTTTTCATCACACATTCACAGAACCATTTAGCATATTGGCTTACGTTTTCTATGCCTAGAAACGTAAGTGTCCACTAAGAGGGTGTTTGGATAAATGCATTTTTAGCTTAATTAGCTTATTGCTTATTGCTTATTGCTGTGGGAATAAGCAGTTTTTTAAAAAGTGTTTGGATTACCTTGTTGTGGTGGGAATAAGCAATAAGCAATAAGCATTTTTAAGTGTTTGGCAAACAAAACAGCTTATATTAGTAAAATGACCAAAAAGGACTTCCTCTTATATTTTAGCATATTTTTCTTATTCAAACAAAATATTTTTGTTTTTTAAACAATAATAATAGTTTTTTTATTCACAATAACTAAAAAAACAATTTCCTATTTTATTTTTACACCATTTTTTATATAAAAAACATTTTTCTTAATTATATGAAACCACAATATCCAACATATTATCCAAAATATTATCCAACATAGTATCCAAAATATCCAACAAATTATCCAAATATCCAAAATATTATCCAACATAGTATCCAAAATATCCAACATATTATCCAAATATCCAAAATATTATCCATAAAATTTGTTTCAAAAAAAATCATACGCCGTTACGTGCACGAGTGTTTGGCCTTGAGAATATTTGTCCCGCAATCATATCGCGTACTGCACTCATATACATATCATCACTTCTACGTTGTATACTTGATACTTCGTCATGTGGCTCAACACCATCATCGGGTCCTTCATCATTGCGCGGAATATAAGATTCTTCTTGCGCTATTTGAAATGCCGCATCACCACTACCGCTCATTCTAATGTAATTGTGAATTGCCATTGAAGCTAGCACAATTTTTACTTGAGTCTCGAAGTTGAAATTTACATGCATATCTCTTAGTAACACCCATCGAGCCTTCCAGACTCCAAAAGTTCGTTCAATTATATTACGAAGTGACGAATGGTAGTAGTTAAATTTTTCTTTGAATCCTTTTGGTCCACGTCGAAAATCAGGAATGTGATAACGGATGTTTGAACCTTTGTAGGGAGCAAGATAACATTTTGTATTAGGATATCCGGCATCTACAAGGTAATACTTACCTGTAGAAATAAAAAAAAAGATTGTTATTCGTTCATATGGTTTGAAAATATAAAACTTCTATTAATGAGTAAGCATACTAACCATCGGCTGGAAGTGGAAACTTAACTTCACGTCTCCTTCGCGCTTCATTGAAAATTCTCGTGTCATGTGTAGTCCCCTCCCATCCAGCCCACGCAAAGGTAAAGCACATGTTGAAATCACATGCTGCCATAAGATTTTGAGTAACACAATTCTTTCGTCCAATGTATTTGATTTGGTCACGTTGCGGAACAGAGGCCTTCACGTGTGTTCCATCGATGGCACCAATACAATCCTACAAATTCAAATAATATAATAAGTTACCAATTATTTTTACTATTACACAAATTCACCAAATAAAATAACTTTGCAACAAATAAATACCTTGAAGTATGGATAATACCGAGGGTTATTTAAAATATATTCTGGTATAGTGTCGTTGTAGTTAGCATTTGGTTTGATGATGTCCTTACTTAGGTTAACCACAGCATCCAAAACTTTATGAAAATGTCTATGGATTGTTTCCCCAGAATGATTAAAGAACTCTTGAACTAACCTATTTCCACATCCATGCGCTAAGTACAACAAGAAAATACCAAGGGACTCTTCAGTAGATACATGACGTGATTTCTTCAACCCATAATGTGCAACAAGATCCCTACATAACATGTTGAAAACCGGGACTTCTAATCTGAAAAGTTGATAACATCGGGCCTCATGATCGTTAAGTATTTCATTGATTAGCATGCTTCCTGTGCGTGAAGATGAACGGCGACGTCTACGTACATATTTCGATTTATGAGTCATTAGTAAGCCTTTGACAGCAAGCCCACATAAAAGAAGTGTTTGAATATCTTCATTTTCTTCATTTTTATCACATGAGTCATCATTGTCATATGAGTTGTCAGTTTCACAGTCACTAGCCATTAAGATAACCTGTTACTAAACGATAAGGAAAATAGTGTAAGATTGAATTTTATCACATACTAGACGAGTTCATGGCAAGGGCAAAATTGACCACAAAACAAATATCAAGCGACATTGCATAAAATCATTGAAAAGGAAACAAATGCAAAACAACCGTTTAAATGTAACATAATAGTTGAAAGGATAGGTCTAACACATGAAAACCGTTTAAATTCTTCCTAATACATAAAATCATTGAAAAAGAAACAAAAACAAAGTCATAGGACAAGGGCAAAATTGACCACAAAAGTTTTAACGATTGTTTAAAGTCTTCAGCTACTTCTCTTTCTCTATAAGCCTCTTGAGAAACTCCATCTTTGTTTCATTAGTTTTTGGAACCATAAAATTCTGACGAGCTGGTTTCTTTAAAAAGACCTCTAACGCTTCTAAATATCCTATTGACCCTTCTTCAAAACCCGGGAAAGTAGAGACAATTGCCATGCAATCTTTTGTTGTGGGTGACTCTATGGTTTGTCTAGAGGGTTGAGTGCTCCTTGTTAACAAAACATCAAAAATAGTGTCTAGTTTCTCTTCATATGACGAGTTTGCCATACTTTTCCCTTCGTTTTTCCTTCATTATTCCCTTCAAATTTTCTTTTGTTGTCACGCCTGGGAGTTAACTTCTTTCCCTTCCTTTTCATACTAGAACTATCATATGTGAGAAAAGGATCAACATCTTCAAATAAGCTGATTCCGTCAGTATCCATTTTTTCATCCGTAATATCCACATACGGTACATCAACCGGAGTGCTACCGGTGCCAATTTCACAAGGTACCTTAGCCTTGTCTCCAACAGCTACAGTATCCCGAAAAAAAGCCTCATAATATGTCTGATACACCTCCAAATTCTTATCCTTAAACTTAGCATACTCTTTATCTTCCTATATGTACAAAATGAAAATGTCATGAAAACCCAATACAAATACTATATTGTTAGATACATTTTTTTTAATTATTACCTTTATTTTATCATCCCACCATTCCTTTGATGCTGAGATTATATTTTTCGTGGGATCAGTGGAAATTCCCGTTTCTAGTCTTGTTAAACGGTCATAATATTTGAACTCTTTCGGTATTATGTCCCATTTGTTTTTCATTTGATTTCTATCCAACTCTTTACCCGTTCGTTCCAAAAGCCTCTTACATATATTTTGGCACGCTGCTTGTTTGAAATAAGTACCTGTCCTATTCCCGTTATTTAGCTCAGTCATACATTCCTCAAGAAATATCTTGAATGTATGAGGATCCCAATGAAACCTATTTGGAGCTTTCATTTTGGGTGTATCAATATCCACATCATGAACATTGATAGTGTCCATTACCTATATTGCATCATCATAAGGAATGAAGAAAATTCTAAAATGCAAGGTAATGTAGAATCAAAACGGGAAGAAAAAATAACCACAAGTACGAAGAAATTCACTGCATGTAGAAGGAAAAAAAACAAAGAAACTACATGGCTATATTGCATCATCATATGTGCAATTCACTGCATGTAGAAGGAAAAAAAAACAAAGAAACTACATGGCTTTATTCTCAGTTCAATTAACATTGCAATAACGGGGGCAGTGCAATTGGAATAGCTAATAACAATGACATTCAAAGAATGAAGAAAAAAGATGAACAGTCAAGAACTTTGACTGCTTGATCGATCACAGAAAAGGGGGCAAAAAAAACGCATACATGCTCAATTCACAGTTCAAGTAAGATTGCAATAACAGCGCAATGCAATTGGAATAGCTAATAACAATCACATTCAAAGAATGAAGAAAAAAGATGAACAGTCAAGAACTTTGACTGCTTGATCGATCACAGAAAAAGGGGCAAAAAAACGCATACATGCTCAATTCACAGTTCAAGTAAGATTGCAATAACAGCGCAGTGCAATTGGAATAGCTAATAACAATCACATTCAAAGAATGAAGAAAAAAGATGAACAGTCAAGAACTTTGACTGCTTGATCGATCACAGAAAAGGGGGCCAAAAAAAACGCATACATGCTCAATTCACAGTTCAAGTAAGATTGCAATAACAGCATAGTGCAATTGGAATAGCTAATAACAATCACATTCAAAGAATGAAGAAAAAAGATGAACAGTCAAGAACTTTGACTGCTTGATCGATCACAGAAAAGGGGGCAAAAAAAACGCATACATGCTCAATTCACAGTTCAAGTAAGATTGCAATAACAGCGCAGTGCAATTGGAATAGCTAATAACAATCACATTCAAAGAATGAAGAAAAAAGATGAACAGTCAAGAACTTTGACTGCTTGATCGATCACAGAAAAGGAGGCAAAAAAAAACGCATACATGCTCAATTCACAGTTCAAGTAAGATTGCAATAACAGGGGCAGTGCTTGATCGTCGACTGCTTGATCGGCATTCAAAGAATGGATAAAAAAGATGAATAGTCAACATCGTCGACTGCTTGATCGACCACAGAAAACGGAAAAAAAAAACGCAGTCCCATCTTGCTTGATCGATTGCGTTACCAGGCGAGAAAATAAAGGAAGAATCTTACCGATTGATCGTTGATGGATGATTGCTTGAAGATCGGCGATGCCCTCGCAGTGGGAATAGCTATCGTCTTCAACAGATGAACGATTGAGCGCGACGAGGGTTATGGGTTTGTGTCGTTGGTTTGAAGGGTATTTGTGTAATTTTCGAAATCAATAAAATTAAGCAATAAGCAATAAGCATTACCCCCCTTGCTTATTAAAATCAGCTTATTTAGCTTATTCCCACCACAATAAGCTGATTTTTTAAGCATCTTATCCAAACACTTAAATTAGCTTATTGCTGTGAGAATAAGCAATAAGCAATAAACTGACATTTTTTTCCCTATCCAAACACCCTCTAAATTTCTTGTAACTCAGGCATAGGATAGAAATACCAGTTCGGAAAGTGATATGACGATCCAAGTTGGTATCCAGATCTCCACCACAAACCCTAAATTTCTCAAAATTGTATTCATTTGCAAGTGTTTTTCCTCTCCTTGATCCTTGCTAGTTTGGTGTGGTAATAAAAATTTAGTTATTCAAAAAGAAAAAAAAAATCTACATGTTGGTAATAAAAAAAAATCTACATGTTTATTAGGACGCACAATACATAAATGGGAGAAGGAATCCACTATTACAACACATTTCTAACGATTTACGCCCATATTTACAGCCTAAAGTTTTAAAGGACGTTATCATCGCATCATAAAAGTAATAAGGCCTTTCTTTATACGTTATTAGCATTGTTGTATTTTATTCAAAAATGTGATTGTCTTAAATGTAACTAATTTGGATATTTGCACTATCGCTTTGAAGCTTACTAACGAAGAAACCATATGCATTATGAATGGAACACTAGACAAGTTATAAAAAAGTCACCTATCATGGGTCTAAAAAGCCATACGCTTTGGCTGAAGTGCTTTCAACCCATTTCTTAGAAAGAACTACGAAAGTACGAAGCTCTATTTCAACCATATTTTAATAAAAATATATACCTGTAACGAAATATTTAAAAGTGTTATTAAAAAGATTATTTTTAATTAAAATTTGAGAAATGAACAGTAGTTGCATAATGAACGGACTAGGTAAAAAGTTTAAATAAGATAAAATGAAAAAAAGAGAAATTAAAGTACAGTATATGTAAATACCTTTTTTTTTATTTTTTTATTTTTTTTAATTTTTTTACAAATAAATGATCTAAAAAATATGATTTCAAAGTTTATATTATCAAATAAAAATTTATTTTGAACAAAAATGATAGGATGTTACAAGTATTTAGTTATATTTTATGTAACGAAATATTTAAAATGTTATTAAAAATATTATTTTAATTAAAATTTTAGAAATGACTAGTAGTTGCATAATGAACGGACTAGGTAAAAAGTTTAAATAAGATAAAATGAAAAAAAAAAAAAAAAAAGAAAAAAAGAAATTAAAGTACAGTATAGGTCAATACCTTTTTTTTAATACAAATAAGTGATCTACAAAATATGATTTCAAAGTTTATATTATCAAATAAAATTTATTTTGAACAATAATGATAGGATGTTACAAGTATTTAGTTATATTTTATGTAATTTTTAACCTTTTTAGTGCAGTTGCTTCTTGTTCCATAACTTATTTTTTCTGCTTTTTCTGTTTAATCTACCGTTGATATATTTTTGTATGTGGGAAGCAATTACATAATTAATTGACTTTCAAGAATGTTCTTTAATATTTATCTATATCAATGAACATTTCATATACATTATCATTACTAAACAATTTAAAAATGATAAACCATATCATTTGGAAAATATTGTCTATATCAAAGAATATTTCATAATACATTATCGTAACCAAACAATTTAAAAATGATAGACCATATCATTTGGAAGACCCACCTCGAATTCGTTTAAGGGTCAATCACATATTGGATAAATAATTGAGCATTAACAACATTTTGGATGTGTTAGTGCCTAAATATAGATTTTCTGTGTAATTTCACGTTTTAACAAGTAGACTTTTATCTTGACATTTTGGATGTGTTAGTGCCTAAAATATAGATTTTCTGTGTAATTTTACATTTTAACAAGTAGACTTTTATCTTGACGAACCAACTTAATAAAAAATATAATAAAATAATCAAAATGGAGTATAGAAATAAAGAAGTAACCATTTATATGCATAAAAAAATAGAGTAAATTACATGAATGCTCGTTCCCTATGATTTGGGATAATTTACATGTTTGGTCCCTAATTTGTTTTTTTAACTCGAAAGGTCCCTACAGTTTGTTTTTGTTGCGCATTTAATCCATGTCTTACCTAAAAAGACTATTTTGTCCTTTTAATTTTTTAATTTATTTCTTTAAAAATTAAAAGGTTACACAATAATTGAGTTTCTGAAAAATTAAAAACATGTCTCTTAATTAAAAATCAAAAGGATACCAAATAGCTCCGAAATAAATAATCATTAAAATAGTCACCTTTAACCAAATTAATACTTGCACTGTTAGTTTATGTTGATAGTTTATGTTATTTTATTCAAATTAAACCTATAATTTACTAACTAGCCCTCAACCTTCAAAATTCTTTACAAATGAATCCAAGATTACATTTTAACCCCTAAAGTCCAAATTAAATCATTTAAACTCCAAAACCAATGTCTTGCTAATTTATTCCGAATTTAGAGCCACTATTCATTTATTAATTTATTTTTAAAACGGACTGTTACAATTCTCCCCCATTTAAATTAGATTTCATCCTTGGAATCACTCCTTATTACTCCCGACATGTTGAGCAACCTTGAGCAACACAACCAAAACCCCGAGTATACCCAACCTTCCCAAGGCAATCGAATTCAACCCTCGTAGGGCTCTACAACCCGCAATGTATGAATCCCTTATAACATAATCACGCTTACACAAGCGGAAATCTGAGGTCTCAAGATGGTCTGACTCCGTGAGAGACCGCCCTTATAGAATCATTATAGTTGAATCCCCTTCCCTTATCTCCAAGCTAACTTCTCAACTTCTGATATTCGAGATTCCCATTAGGAACAGAATCACTGACCAAAACGTCCCTACAAAACACTTATACTTGACAGAAGGCTCAGATAATCCTTTGAGTAGAAGGTCCATCCCTGCAATAGTTAGACTCGGATGAGGGTTGCACATCAGAGTCATATCAACTATCCTAAGATTATTTAATCCCACTGCTGGTGACTTATCACTTCTCAATCAATCAGTTACTCCATTCGCACCTGCAAGCTTAAATTACCACTACTGCTCGAGACACTGAAACTGCCCGAAATACTGAACTGCCTGAAATACCGAACTGCCTAAAACAGTATGTTGCATCATGGCCGCCTTCCAAAATCCACCGAGACCTCCTTGGTCTCAATTCGTTTTCCAGTCATTTGAAATATCGGGTTCCGACCCGGTTGCAGAGCCAAAAGACTCCTACACAGTCGCCCTTCACGTCTTCTAAACGAAATTCACATTTGTGAATAGTTATCATTAGTTATCTTGCCACTATGGCCCTAACGACCTCCTGATCTAACCGATCAGGTCCATACGTCGAATCCTAACGTCACCAAATCCAAGGCTGAAAATGATTGCTACATGACTAAGGGTAGTCTTATATCACAAACGACCTTAAACGGTCCATCGCTTCCTACGGTCTTATCACTGGCCCAACTAGGTCTAATTCTTTTGGGGAAATCCGTAAACCAATATGTGGATTTGCCACGCCCTCACTGCTGCACCCGAAATGGTGGGTACTACTGCTCCTTCCGTAATCTAACAACACGCTCATGCTATCTACCAACCTAGTGAATGTTGCAACTACACCTGTAGTCTCACAATAGTCTAGCACTATCTGCCAACCTTGTGAATGCTACAACTACACCCGTAGACTTACAACACTCTAGCACTGTCTGCCAACCTTGTGAATGCTACGGCTACACCCACATACTTAACACTTCCCACGATGTCTCAATCACTG